TTGTTTTGTTGATGGTTTCTTTTGTTGTACAGAAGCTTTTTATTTTGATGTAAACCCATTTGTTTATTTTCTCTTTAGTCTCCATTGCCTTAGGAGCTGTATCAGTACAGATATTGCTTCAGCATATGTCTGAGATTTTGCTGCCTGTGGATTCCTCTAATATTTTTATGGTTCCCTGTCTTATGTTTAAGTCTTTTATCCATTTTGAGTTTGTTTACTTATTTTTTATATATATTTTATTGATTTCAGAGAGGGAGGGAGAGGGAGAAAGAGATAGAAACATTAATGATGAGAGAGAATCATTGATCGGCTGCCTCCTGCATGCCCCCCACTGGGGATCGAGCCTGCAACCCAGGCATGTGCCCTTGACTGGAATCGAACCTGGGACCCTTCAGTCCGCAGGCTGACACTCTATTCACTGAGCCAAACTGGTTAGGGCTCTGCTCTGATCTCTATTATCTCCTTCCTTCTGCTCACTCTGGGCTTTTCTTGTTGTTCTCTTTCTAATTCTTTAAGTTGTAGAGTTACATGATTTATTACCATTTTTTCTTGTTTTGTTTTTTTGATGTAGGCCTGTAGAGCTATAAACTTCCCTCTCAGGACTGCTTTCACTGTGTCCCATAGGTTTTGGATTGTTAGGTTTTCATTGTCATTGGTTTTCCAGGGTGTTTTTAATTTCTTCTTTGCCAGATGGATTTTTTGTTGTTGTTGTTTAATTGAGGATATAGAAAGGGAAGTAATAATGGATGTGCTCTTGACCTGGGTCACCTAATTCTCTCTAAATGATATTATGTAATCTGGATGCACTAAATGTGTTAACAGTGAATTTTTCAAATTTAAGAAAAACAATGGAAACAAAATTTCCAGTCCTATGATAATAACAAATCTATATAAATAGGTCCATATTTTACAAGTGTTCTCTTTGAGAAATATCTTGTCAGGTGTTATTGACCTCAATTTCAGATAATTTGTTTCACATGAACACTTGTAAAATATCTTCTATCATGCAGTTTTAAATTGTTTACATTTATGTATGATTGTTTTTATAAAACCTTTAACCAGATTTATAGGTGGGTCCTTGGTTTTTTCTCAGGACACTATAGGCTGATAAAATCTTATTTTGTAAAAAAGTTATTTTATTGCTTTGGTCAGATCACATCTATTTCTTTTCCTCATCTGTTTTATTTATTCCTCCCCATATTTGTGGGTGTGGGGTCAATTTTACACTTTTGATGCAAAATTCATCCATATTTGGTCTTCACAGTATATGTCCTAGTGATGTTTCATTTGTAGTTGTAACCTCTTTGAAAAAATATCTGTGACAATATGAGCAATGATTGGTAAGATTCAGTTTAAAAAATCGGGAAAAACTCAGGTTCTTGTCTCAAATTGTAAAGGGCTCAATTTACGGAAAGGAGAGTCATTCCTTTTGATTTTATTTTGTTAGCAAATATTAAGATACAATCCCTTTTATGTAATTTTATTTTTTTCTCTTTTTGTCAGAAAAAGAGAAATAAAATACTTTAGAGAATTTTTCAACAGTATTTACTCTGATAATTCCCTAACTGCATTGATATTTAAGGGCCTTGGGTACTAGCTAGCCTAGAATTATAATTATATTGGGGAGGACTTCTGACTTCAAACTAAAAATTCTCAAGAATTGGAAACATTATTGCTTAAGCCTGCAGAAGATAGAAGGAGTCTGAATTAGATTAAGCAGTGATTTATTACAGTTCAGTTTGATTAATAATTTTTAAACTCTGACCAGGTTTGTATTTCCTTATGGCATTTAATTGTTATTTTAAAAAATTAGTTAATGACACTAGCTCATATTTAAACAAATTTTAATCATTATGTTAAAAATCAAATTAAAGCATATTAAAATGGAAAAATTTTAATGTTTTAATGATTTCTTTCCAATTTAATTATTTATTAGAAATATTGTTCACACCTGAAGATTATAGATGATATTGTACAGGTAGGGCTTTTGTTTTTCAAAAATGTAAGAGACATTTTTTGAAGGAAACAACAAAAATTAAATATAAATGATAAATTTAACATCAATCACAGCAAGCTTTTATTTTAAATTTCATTTAAGAGAAATGATTAATTTGGAAGTTGCTGGGAAACTTAGACACAGTTTGCCCCCTGCATCAACCCATATTCCTTACGATTCACTATACCCTCGCATAGTGCTAATTATTAACTCTTCAATCTTCCAGAATAAAGAAAAATCTCAGGAAATGGCTACTATAATTAAAAAGATATTTCTGTAGCTATATGTCTCAAATAGAAACATAGAATATTGGAACCATTAAACCATATGGTTATCAATGAAAAAATGTAGGTTGCAGTGATTTTTCTGAGACAATTTTAAAGCTATTGACCTTCCCTCCCCTTTTAAATATATTCTTATTGATTACAGAGAGGAAGGGAGAGGGAAAGAAAGAAACATCAATGATGAGAGACAATCATTAATCAGCTTCCTCCTGCACACCCACCACTGGGGATCTCGCCTACAACCTGGGCATGTGCCCTGACCAGGAATCAAACTGTGACCTCCTGGTTCATAGGTTGACGCAAAACCACTGAACAATACTGGTGGGGTTCCCCCCTCCCCGCAACACACACACTTTTTTAAAAACAAACTTTACGCAGAGCTCAATAGATAAAGACTGTCATTTCAAAACAGGAATCCAGGCTCCAAAGCTGTTTTTCCTTCCCTCAACAGCTTTCCTCTTTCCCCATGTACCAATTACCACCCCTACATAAAATCCTTGTTAGGTGGAATACCCTGACCATAGATGAGCCCAACGGGCTTTGTATTATACATATGATATGACAATGAGAATGAATGTCTTCCTTAAAATCTCAGGGCTAGTTATAGAAGTTCTAGGACTATCAACCAATAACATTAGGTAATGAATTTATTATTACTTTTAACTATTCCTTCCAGAGAATGGAAATGAACTCTCTGGGACTTAAAATCACTTGGTCTGTTAATTAATTCTTTAGGTACTGATATCTATAAGTAGGCAAGCTACATGAGATCCCAAAATCCTTGGGGTAACTGACTAGAAACTTTTCAGCAGCAATATACTTGTCCTGGTAGTTACCAAAGTTTTTGCTGCAATATAAAAGTAGTTTATTTAACCTTTTAACAAATCTCTACCATATTCCTTACGATTCACTATAACCACATATAGTGCTAATTATTAACTCTTCAAATATCTCTGTCTGTGGTTTCTGGACCACCTAAGTGCAGTTACCTTTTCTTACTGTAATTTGGCCAATCCCACATTTGCCCCAGGTCTTATTCCTCTTTTGGCTCAGTACTTTCCATGATAACCTTGTGTCTTCCTAACGTGTTGTGTTTTTTTTAATCTCTATTATATTCTTCATAAAGACTTGTGTAGTCAAGTTTTCATGAAATACTCTCTCTAAAAATAAAGTAGCTTATTCTCTAATACTTTCCATCTCTAAGCATCAGGAAGGAAGGGACAGTCAAACCCTAGCTATACTATCGCTTCTCGATGAGGCTACCATCATTTCCAGCCTGGACTTCTGATTTTAAACCTAGAATCTTTATAACTTCCCACGCTGAGCAGCTGGAGTATCCTTTTTCTGTAAATTGGATTATTTAAGTTCTATGTTTAAAATTCTCCGAAGATTTCCCTTTGTAATAAGAATAAAATCCAAGTTGCTCACTGTGGACTTCAAATCTTCATGTCATTTCCTTGCTTGAGAGATCCTTCTCCCTGCCTACTCTTGCTAAACTGTATATATGCGATCTTTAAATACAAAGTCTGCTTTCCCTCAGTTAGTGCACATAAGGAACAAATATTTTCATGATTAAAATGTAAAACTCTTTGATTAAAATAAGAAATGTTAATCCCTGATCAGTTTGGCTCAGTGGATAGAGCATCAGGCCATGAACTGAAAGGTCCTGGGTTAGATTCCGATCGAGGGCATATACCTTGGTTGCAGGTTCAATCCCCAGTTGGGGGCGTGCAGGAGGCAGCTAATCGATGTTTCTCTCTCATTGATGTTTCTAACTCTCTATCCCTCTCCCTTCTTCTCTGTAAAAAATCAATAAAAATATATTTAAAAAAATAAGAAATGTTAAGTTGTATATTTTTTAAAAATCATGATCTTATTTTTACTCTCTTGTTCTGCAATGTAGGTTCTAGTGAAAAATTCAAGCTCGAAAAGATTAGTGTATAATGCTACAATCATTGGAAGAGATGCCGCTGACTTCACCCTCTCCCCCACAGAGAGTACTGTGACAGTTCCTCCAAAGTAAGTGTTTTGTTTTTTTTAAATTTTACTTCATTAAACGTATCAGCCCTAGAAATTTAATGTGCGCTATAATTATTAAAAAGTGACCTGGATTTGTTTTTAGTGGATATATACAAATGAAAAGACCATCACTCACACATAGATGAATAATTCATATGTTGCTGAGATTCCGCATCAATTTTGTTTAAACATTCTAACAACATAAAGCAGCTGCATTTTATGTATACATTTAATTTCAGTTTATTTTTTCATGTTCATTGGCCATAGAGATTAGACAACAAATTGTTTATGTAGTACTGTTGTTTTCTGCCAAAAACTCAAAGCAGTGTGTGAAGTCTCTGATTATAAAAGCAATATGTGCTCATTGTAGAAAATGTAGAAACTATGCAAGTATAAAGAAAAAAAGTAGAAGACTAATAATCATACATGAAAGATACCCCAATGTTGCCATTTTTCTCTATCCCTAGTCATTGTAACTTAAAGATAGATAGATGATAGATAGATAGTCTCATATACTTATAAGAACACTTTCTTTTTTTTAGAATATCTCTATTTCATAGCATCATGTTCTTAATTTGGGGTCACAATAGTTTCATAAATGTCTCTGACTTACTTTTTCATCTATTCCCTGTATATTTATTTTCTTGAGGTCAGTTGGTATGTTGTTTCTCTTGGTCTCGGTGTTTCACATTGAAGGATTTACTCTAATGACTTGTGATACTTGATGATCCATTCACATGTAATAATATGGCAATAGAAAAGTAAATTGTGAGTTTGTATATGCACAGGTTTGTTAATCGACAGATTTCTCTTCAGGGTGAAAGCATTCTGCTTTTTAAAAAAAATATATTTTATTGATTTTTTACGGAGAGGAAGGGAGAGGGATAGAGAGTTAGAAACATCAATGAGAGAAACATTGATTCAGCTGCCTCCTGCACAACCCGTACTGGGGATGTGTCCACAACCAAGGTACATGCCCTTGACTGGAATCAAACCTGGGACCCTTCAGTCCGCAGGCCGGCGCTCTATCCATTGATCCAAACCGGTTAGGGCAACATTCTGCTTTCATGCCCAGTTGCCTGGCATTCTACAATGGTCTTGGGAAGGGCTGTCTGAACTGCATTTTGCCTTCTCTGAAACTAGGCAATAGGGCAGTTTTGTTTCCTCTATTAGCCTCTGTGGAGATGCTCATCAACAGCTCTCTCTAATTAGCAGCTTTTTTTAAAAAAAGCCCTTTATTGTAATTTTGTAATTTTAATAAGATTTTTCTTCTAGGCAATGAATTTCAGTTTCAGATGCCATTGTGGCCTAGAACGCTTCTATCATGTCATTTAACAATTAAATGCTGGGCTTTGATACTGACATGTACAGGCTCTATGATTCAGCTTCATTTTTGTTACTTGGAAAATGTGGATCAGGGTATTTATTCCCAGTGTTGTCAGTAATAAATGTACTTCTATAGGCAAAACACCTAGTACTGTAACTGGAACTTACAGGAAGCAATCAATAAGCATCCCCCTCCGCCATTCAAAGTACTGGTGATTCATAGGTGAAAACATCAACACTCTTCACAGTGTTTAGAGTCTAGCACAGTGCCATAGAAGCAAATATACAATAAGGATATAATTTGAATAATTGTTTTATTTGTGATGTGTGTATAGAAACAGAGGAAAATGGAAAAAAGAAGCCACCTAAGTGTTCTTGGGGAAACCACAAGAACCTCAGAAGATGTAATGCGCAATTCTCTGTGTGTATGGAAAACAATTACTCACTTTTCTGGATACATTTTATTTTGTAGGCTTGAATACTATTATTAGGTGGTTCTTTAAGTATCTCTTTAGTGAGACTAAATAATGACATGGTCTTTGGTTTTTACTAATAGGATTTTAATGAAACAAAATAGCTTTTGTTTTATTAAGCAAACAAACAAACAAAAAAACCCCACCTGTGGCTTTATCATTATCAGGTATTGTATAATTATCTATGTATACCACATCCTGCTTTAGATTCTGTCTCAATCATGATTAGTAATAGCTATTTCCACCAGCTGTGGATTTAAATTCCCAGAGATATAATTTATATAGAAAGATTAAACAGCTACGCCAGCATATAAACAAACATGTTTATTTCTGCATCTAACTTCATGTCTAAATTTAGGTATAACCATAGAGTGTTGTAAAAGTGAAAGTATATTTTTAGAAAACCATTCTGTTTCTTTTTCCTTCATGATTCTCATTGAGCCATATGGGCACTGACATTGATATGTTATATATTTTTTCTCCATCTTTTCTGAAAGCCAAGTTGCAGTAGCTTATGAGGTTCATGTAATATGAAGGAGTATAAAACCTATACTTGTGATATACATGCCTGCGGATCTAATACATGACCTGAGGTAGACTACCCATTTGATTCTGAACTTTCTAACACATTCAAGAAGGAATCCTGGTAATTTACATACATCAATATAACTACAAAACTTTTTCTTCTTTACTTTTATTGTTGACACTATATGGATGTCCCTATTTCCCCCTGCATTTGCCCACCTCCAACCAGACCCCACACCCTCCATCACCACACTGTTGTCTGTTTCTATGGGTTATGCATATATGTTCTTTGGCTAATCCCTTTACCTTCTTTCATCTTTTTATAAAAGAAATACCTATACTCAAGAGAAGCTCAAATCTTCATGGCCCTAAAACCAGCAATTACCTCATGGAAAGGATACTGTATTTTAAAATGTGTTACATAGGACTTAAGTATAGGTCCATAAATTCATTTACTAAGCACATGCTCTTTAGAACATGGTCATTCTTGAACACCTTTTTGTTTCTTTTTTTTAACACTTATAATCATTTTTATTTTATTTTTTAATTTAAATTCTTTATTGTTTAAAGTATTACATATGTCTCCTTTTTCCCCCATTGACCTTTCCCTTGAACACCTTTTTCCATCAACTTCCATGGAAATCCAATCCATGACTTTGTGCTATTGATTTTACCAAATGTATCTTATATTTGTCATCTTTTCCTCTTACCTACCTCTTCCATTCTAATTTAATGTACCATTATCTTTAACTTGGGTTGCTACAAGGGACTCCTAAAAGATTTTTTTTTCAATCTATTCCCAACATCAGATTGGCAAGGATTGTTTAAAATGCAAATTTGGTCATGTTACTCTTCTACTTAAAATATTCCTGTAACTTCACATCCTTATTATGATATAAACTGAACATCTCAGCATGGTCCACATAGCTTTCATGGCAGGTTCCTGCCTATATTTTGTAACACAAAAACTTTTGCTTTCTAAGATTCAGCACCACTGGCCTTTGGTAAGTTCTTAAAACACATAATTCCTTCTTGGATGCCTTCTTTCCACACCTGCTCATTCTAGCCACTCATTTTCAGCTTTTATATCCCACTTAATATAGATGACCTTTTAGATGGTATCACACTCCCTATTATGTGATCTCATACCACTTCACAGTGCACACAGAACTTGTAGTTTTCACATTTATTTTGTGACGACATACTATTTGTCATGTCCTATAAAATGTAAGATCCAGGAGATCAGCAATAGTGTATTTTTCTAATTAGTGTATCCCCAAAACTTAAAACAGTGCTTGGAATATTATAAATTTCTATAGATATCAATTGAATTAATGAGTGGTTTTATCTAACAATGAATTTTAGAATATCTAGAAAAATGCTAAATCACTCACAGTTACCTAACACAGACTTTGAGCCTATTATATCCAGAAAAAGACCACAAGGTCAAATATTCTTTGTTCTCAATTAAATTCAAGTCCAAGATCTTTTAATAATATTTAAGAAAATGTGCTTTTGCACAAATTGAGGAGATTAGTGATGACATATCTGGAAAAATCATTCCCGCTCTTGCTAGATGTGAGCTATAATTTTCCCTATAAAGCAATTCTGAGAATATTTCTGTTGATTTGAAAGTCCTGCATTCACTTTACTCTGCTGCTCCCTAAACTCATCCATTTAACAGTAATTTCACAACTGTTTTAGGGAAATTAAGCCAAAGTTTGACACCCAGAGAATCATTCCCATCTTCATCCCCAAATATGTGTATCCTAAGGGAAGGTGAAAGTTTTATACAAAGAATAATTGTGATATGATGTATAATGCTAAATATGTTAAAAGCCAGAGTAAAAGTAAAGGTAAAATTTCCCCAAGTTTATCAGCCACAGGTGTGGCCAGTCAAGGGAAGGCTGAAATATTCAGCCAGTAAAGAAACAATGAAAATCATTTTTTTACTAGGAGAGTTCTTTATTTACATAAACAGTGAAAGCAAAAGTAATCGAATGGGGCTAGATCTCCGTGTCCCTTGTGCAGCACAACACCAAAACCAAAGGGTCCACCATTATAGACATGGTGGCAGGTAGGTCTGGATGAGGGTGAGTGTGTGAGAGAGAGAGTATGTGCGGGTGTGAGAGTGGGAGAGCATCTGTTTGTGGGAGCAGGAGCTTAGGGAGGCAACTGGGGCGCTCCAGGCAGAGGATCTGCCACTGCAGTGTGTTGCTCTGCTGGGCACTTCTCTGCACTTCAGTGGAGGCCATTGTGAGGGAGCCACAGGGTCCCCACGGGAGGAGACTTTGGAAAACGACCCTGCCCCAGGGCCCCTAGGACACTGACAGGTGCTCAAAACCCCATTGCTGAGATCCAAAGTCCCCATGCACACAGGCGAGTCATGCAGACTCAGTTAGTCTGAACTGTGTGCTGTGGAGGATTGGTTGGCTGAGGCAACCTCTGGTGCTCAGGGCCTGCCCCACCATACTGGTGAACTGGGCACCCAGCTCGTCCCAGTCCCAGCAGTGGAGTGCCCAGTGGAGCTAGCAAACAATCAGCCCCACATCCTCCAAAGGGGAGAGCTAGGATGCCCCACGTCATCAGCATCCAGTGCTCAGTCTGACACAACCCCTCTGTGAGCAGAGCCACCAGCCTGCCCTGCCATAGAGGCAGAAAAAGCATTCAACAAAA